TTGTCTGTCTTCTTGTTCCCTTTGTCACGTTGCCAATGCCAACCCCTTTTCATTGGATGCCTGCATTTCTACACAGCCAACCAAACTTTCTATTTGTTGCAATGCTAGACATTTGGGGAGTGAAAACGGGTCAGAGAGGAATTCCAGTTGGGACAGAGGCTCTTACGTTGTCCCCTGCTATAGCTGGGGGCACCTCAAGAGCGCTCTGTTGGGTTTCATCCCTGACTGCACAAGTCTCCAGCCCTCAATGAGTAGATAGACTAGATAGACTTAGGGATTCCTCCCAATTTCCTGTAGTTAAGTTGGTTAAGAAGGGGTTAAGAAGGGGGAATTGCCCTTTGCATGGTACTATCTCCTTCCTCCCCATTTGAATACCTAGGAATGTAATCCTATAGGGAAAACGTAACTTCCTCTTTTAAAGGTATTTTTATTACCCTGGCCTGAGCCATGTGGCCTGTCTCCATTTTTAGGCTCTCTTCTTTTTTGTCCTCCATAGAGTGAGGAAGCATCTTGCTTTTGTCCAGCAAAGATGTAGTAGATATAGTTACTTTTATTATTTTTTCCTTTTCTTTTACCTTAGATGATAGCTCAGTGAAGCTAGTTAGCTCCAAGAACCTTTCCTATCCAGAATGGATTTCTTTTATCTTTAATAAACATATTATTTTGATCCTATGAGTTGTGGATCTGCAATCCTGTTCCATCCTGCTGAATGGAAGTCAATTCTTGCTCACTACATGTAAGTTTCTGCTGCTTATTTACTGTGCACCTTGCACTCTGCTATATTTTGGTGGAATCACCCCCAGAGAGGGTTATTTTTGAGCCTAACAGCTCTTGATTCCCAACACGCTCCCCCGGGGATTGGCGCTCTATGCAAATGCGTAATTTGCCTATTGCTTCAGCCGCCCCTGAGCCTATCCCAGTCCTACTGTAATAATGGATGCTCAGGCCTTGCAAGTACGTGTGAGTTTCAGATGGCCAGGATCAGTTCAGCCTCATCCTGGGACAACAGGATAAAACAAAGGGGTGTCCAGATGGCGCATGGGGATGATGGAGTTGCCAGGGAGGATGAGCCAAAGGAGCCAGCAGATGGGCAAACGGGCAAAGTCTTTGCAGCCCAGCAGGTAGTCAGACGTATCTGAGATACATGTATTGTCAAAGGCTTTGTCTTCCAGATTCACTGGGGTATTGTGTGGTTTCCAGGCTGTTTGGCCATGTCCTAGCAGCATTTTCTCCTCATGTTTCACCTCCATCTGTGGCTGGCATTGTTTAGAGGATCTTTCACCTGTATCTGTGGAAGCCTGGAGACCACACAGCAACCCAGAGATTTCAGCCATGAAAGCCTTTGACAATACAATGCACATTGGCCCCTAGCCAATAGTAGGGAGCGTTGCTGAAGATTTCTATCTTAATTTCCAAACAGGAAAATGCATTGTTCCTCTGTCTCGGGTTTTGACTGGAAACCTCCAGGCCTGATCTGAAACTGAAATAGCCACCCTATTGCTTACATAAGGAGTCCTTTGAACAAGGGCCAACGAAGTCCAGCTGCATACAGAAAGGAAACGTATGCACATGTATGGATCCAACCAGTTCTGTCCAAAAAAACACTTCGGGCTCCTGAGAATCATAATGTTTATTATTATTATCTCTCCCAAGTGAAAAAAAAATTGGTCCCTCCATCACAAAGCAAAAGAGACATTTCATTGGAAAAACAAACGGAAGAGGGCCTTGATTGCATTGCTACAAGTTGAGTATCGCTTATCTAGAAATACGAAATGCTCCTAAATCCAAGACTGTCTATTTGGATGTCTGAGAGATTGACACCTTCACTCTTTGATGTTTGATGTTTCACCCACAAAACTTAGTAAAAATGTTGTGTGTAAAATGACCTTCGGTGTATGAGTATATGAAGCATAAATTAATGTTATGTTGACACTTGGGTCCCATCTCCATGATTCCTCATATATGTACATGCAAGTATTCCAGAAAACACTTCTGGTCCCAAGCATTTTTGTACCTGTACTGAACTCATGCCAAACCCACTAAGTCAATTGTTGAAGGAGGATTGAAAACTTCCATAATTCGAACTGATTCAATAAGTCTACTTGAGTTGAGACCTTTAATGGGATGCCCAGCCAGAAGTATCTCTTGATAAGATGTCCCCTAAGCAAGGCAGGAGGCCTTACCTGGGAATCCACACACCTAGGAAGGACCTACGGACAATGCTTGGCCTGTGCTTGGCATCGTCTAGAAATGCCTGATCAGCAGGCAGTAAGGACAGGCAGACTTCCTTGGGAGGCGGTTGGATGGCCATCTTCGCTGGACCTTTCCAAAGAGATCCAGGATGGCTATCACTCAGGGATGCCTCACTGTCACATTCTTACTTTGGAAGAGATCTGGAGAGGATGACCCTTGGAGCCCATCCAGTCTTTCCAACATTCACTGGCTCTGGCCTGGTGCTTATCCAACCCAAAGACAATGTGTTGGAGCAGGAGCTTCTCCAGACATGGGAGATCCAGCAGGACATAGGCAAATCCCAAGTTTCCTCCACACAGTCCCAGGCCCTAGAGCAGTGGTTCTCAACCTGGGGGTCAGGACCCCTGGAGGGGTCGCGAGGGGGTGTCAGAGGGGTCGCCAAAGACCATCACAGACAGTATTTTCTGTTGGTCATGGGAGTTCTGGGTGGGAAGTTTGGCCTAATTCTATCGTTGGTGGGCTTTTGAATGCTCTTGGTTGTAGGTGAACTATAAATCCTAGCAACTACAACTCCCAAATGTCAAGGTCTATGTTCCTTGAACTTCACCAGTGTTCACATTTGGGCATATTGAGTATTCGTGCCAAGTTTTATCCAGATCCATCATTGTTTGAATCCACAGTGCTCTCTGGGTGTAGGCAAACTACAACTCTCAAACTCAAGGTCAATGCCCACCAAACCCTTCCAGTATTTTCCGTTGGTCATGGGAGTTTTGTGTGCCAAGTTTGGTCTAAATCCATCGTTGGTAGAGTTCAGAATGCTCTTTGAATGTAGGTGAACTACAAATCCCAGCAACTACAACTCCCAAATGACAAAATCAATCCTCCCATAACACTCCAATAAGAATACATCCTGCATACCAGATATTTACATAATGATTCATAACAGTAGCAAAATTATAATTATAAAGTATCAATGAAAATTATTTAATGGCTGGGGTCACCACAACATGAGGAACTGTATTAAGGGGTCGCGGCATTAGGAACATTGAGAACCACTGCCCTAGAGGGTTCCAGGGGGACCACGGTTCAGGCTTTTTGAGCCTCCCATCCTCCGCCTCATATTCTCTTGGCATCCTCAACACTGATGCAAACTCAGCCATGTTATCAGGAGCTTAGGTTTTAACACGCAATAGCAGGATACGCCAAAGTCAAGAGTCCACTAACAGAGAGTCCTTGGAAGTCCAGAGGTCCAGATAGGGGTGAGATGTTGTGTGGTTTCCGGGCTGCATGGCCATGTTCTAGCAGCATTTTCTCCTGATGTTTTGCCTGCATCTGTGGCTACTGGCATCTTCAGAGGTTCTGTTGGCAGTGAAACAAGTGGAGTGTATACACCTGTGGAATGTCCAGGTTGGGAGAAAAGAATCATTGTCTGTTAAACAAATGTCAAGCATGCAATTAGCAAGCTAGATGTTTATATCCTGAGTGGGATCCACCCATTAATGTGTGAGTAACTGTCAGGCTTTACAATGTATTGTAATGTAATATAGCTGAGTCATGCACTGCTAATGGGCTTCTATTGTGAATGCTGAGTCATGCATTAACTGTATATAGGGAATCATTTGGGGAATGTGTTCTGGCCTGGTCCAGGTGATTGTGAATGAGGCAATCCTGGGTTTGAGTTAAGTTAATGAGTTGGGAACCAATCAGAGATTGCTATGTGTAATTGTATAGAGTTGTATATAAGGAAGTCATGTACAGTGTATATCTCTCCTTGTGCTGTGATGCTGTTCGTCGAAGGCTTTATGTAATTAAAAGAACCTGAATGCTAAGACAAGATATAACTGTATGCTGTGGTAAGTTTGTAATATCATCTAGACTGGGGGAAAGACAATGGTAAAACTGACAATGGCCGGGCATGTGCTCAAGTGTCTGTAAAAGTTTCCAGAGTGACTGCAGGCTGTGGGAGCAATTGACTGAAAATACTGTGCAGGAAGAAGCTACTGGAAAGCGCTGAAGTTGTGCAACTGATCTGCTGCTGAATTGTGAAGTTAATCTCAACAGTAACCATGAGGGTAACATAGTCAATAAGTGAGGGCATCTGCATAGCAGTAACCTGGCCTTTGTTCCCTTTGATAGCCATGGTCACCATCCAGGGCCTGAAATGCCAAGAGTCCAAAGTGAAGGTTCAAGACAAGAAACAGCAACATTGTCTACCACAATACCCAGAACTGAGAGCCTTTTCATCTCACGATCTCATCTCTTGCTTGTTTAATGCTCATTTCTCTGCTAACCTCTTAGACCTGCCACACTCTGCTCGCTTTCTCCTGCGCTCCAAAGGTGAGCAAGCCAGTTCAGAGGGGCTTGCTTCTGCTTGCTCAGACTGTAACAGTGGCTCAGCTAGCCCTGGGAGATTGCTGGACCTCCATCCCCTCTGCTAACTCTTCCAGCCACTCATTGTCCTCAACATCAGAGCTGGCCATGACATTAACAAAGAGCTGGGAAGGATTCCTCCTGAAACTCCGGAGAGCAGAACTTCCATTTTGGGATCAACAGTGCAAGGTGCAATGGGCCAAGTGTCGGGGGATTCCTACCCTCGTCCACCTCTGGCATCCTCTGAAATCCATTAGACCACTTCTGGGAAGTTCTGCCTGGTCCTGCCCATTTCCCCCCAAAATGCCACTTGATCAATAACTCTTTTTTGTACATGGACCACCACCACCGTCACCCTGGGTCCTCTGGTCCTGCCTTCGGACTGTTACCACAAACCACCACTTGGCGTCTCAAGAGGTGGCCATTCCAAGATAAGCTCCACTTCACAACTTTGTGGCCTCCTGGATCTACGAAGGAGATGCAAAATGGAAGCTCTCCCACCACCCCAAAATGGCCTCATAGTGGTCATCCAACAATTAGATCTGTCCAGGCCTGGTGACCAAGCCAAGGCCACCGAGCATCATAGATGGAGGCTACAAGCCGGCTCCCCGTCATTCTCAAAGCCTGGGTTGATGTAGGTGGCACCAGGAATGTCCATGTGGATTGCCGTGGCTCCAGAGAAGTCCATTTTGTTCAGAGGCGGCCATGATGAGTCACTGTTCAGGCTTCTCTGCAGTTTCTTATACTGGCTGGAGGACTGGTAGCCAAAGGCCCTCTTCAGTAGCCTCCACAGAGCCCTGTTCTCGATTATGGCTTCCTGCAAAGAGAAAAAGGCATAGGTAGAGGCTGGAGAAAAGGTGACACCGAAGCACAGCAACCCCTGAAAGGGGTGAAAACACAAAGCCTAATCTGTTGTTGTAGGGTTTTTGGGCTGTATGGCCATGTTCTAGAAGCATTCTTTCCTGATGTTTCACCTGCATCTGTGGCAAGCATCCTCAGAGGTAGTGAGGCAACCTCACAACTTCTGAGGCAACTGTCAGTGGTATCTCCTCACAGCAAGGCAAGGAAAAACATCGATCACAGTCACCTTTAGGCTATAAACTAATTTATTATACATCTATTTACATTAGAAGCTAAGCACATCGTAAAACTGCTTCCTCTCCATCCGGCAGCTACATCACGAACACAGAACATGCTGTTATCAGCATTAGTCCACACCTCCTGCATTCCAGAGTGACGTATGACCTACAACTGCTTTCTGCACTATGATTTATGACCTCTCTAGGAATGCCGATTCCCTTCATGATTCAGTTAACTCTTTCCACACAGGAATTACACTCAGCACATAGCATTACATTTTAAACATACAAGCACACTTTGAAATCTACATTACACATTTTCAAAACACATCAACAGCAACCTCCCCACCTCTGAGGATGCTTGCCACAGATGCAAGTGAAACGTCAGGAGAGAAAGCTTCTAGAACATGGCCATACAGCCCAAAAAACCTACAACCCAGTGATTCTAGCCATGAAAGCCTTCTTGTAGCCTAATGGACTACAAATCCCAGCACAGGCAATGGCAAGGGATGCTAGGGGCTGCAGTCCAAGGGGTATGCTCCCTGATCAATGCTCTATGGAACTAGCAATGACCTGACAGTAATGTAATGCACCAAGGTTCAAGGATTGAACTTGTCCCTTTGGGATTTATAGTCCAAAGGCAAGCTGAGAGCTGGGCAAGGGCTGGCCCCTTCACCACTTCATTTTTACTGATCTACCTGACTGCAGAAACTTCCAAATCTGCCAATAGCTATATGTTGGAATCATAGAATTATAGAATCCTAGAGTTGGAAGAGACCTCATGGGCCATCCAGTCCAACCCCCTGCCAAGAAGCAGGAATATTGCATTGAAATCACCCTTGACAGATGGCCATCCAGCCTCTGTTTAAAAGCTTCCAAAGAAGGAGCCTCCACCACACTCCGGGGCAGAGAGTTCCACTGCTGAACGGCTCTCACAGTCAGGAAGTTCTTCCTCATGTTCAGATGGAATCTCCTCTCTTGTAGTTTGAAGCCATTGTTTCGCGTCCTAGTCTCCAAGGAAGCAGAAAACAAGCTTGCTCCCCCTCCCTGTGGCTTCCTCTCACATATTTATACATGGCTATCATATCTCCTCTCAGCCTTCTCTTCTTCAGGCTAAACATGCCCAGCTCCTTAAGCCGCTCCTCATAGGGCTTGTTCTCCAGACTTGATCATTTTAGTCGCCCTCTCTGGACACATTCCAGCTTGTCAATATCTCTCTTGAATTGTGGTGCCCAGAATTGGACACAATATTCCAAGTGTGGTCTAACCAAAGCGGAATAGAGCATGGGGAGCATGACTTCCTTAGATCTAGACACTAGGCTCCTCTTGATGCAGGCCAAAATCCCATTGGCTTTTTTTGCCGCCACATCACATTGTTGGCTCATGTTTAACTTGTTGTCCACGAGGACTCCAAGATCTTTTTCACACATACTGCTCTCGAGCCAGGCCTCATTGTCCCCCATTCTGTATCTTTGCATTTCGTTTTTTCTGCCAAAGTGGAGTATCTTGCATTTGTCCCTGTTGAACTTCATTTTGTTAGTTTTGGCCCATCATCTCTCTAATCTGCCAAGATCGTTTTGAATCCTGCTCCTGTCCTCTGGAGTATTGGCTCTCCCTCCCAATTTGGTGTCGTCTGCAAACTTGATGATCCTGCCTTCTAGCCCTTCACCTAAGTCATGAATGAAGATCCTGATCAGGACCGGGCCCAGGACGGAACCCTGCTTCTGGCACTCCACTCGTCACTTCTTTCCAGGATGAAGAGGAAGCATTGGGGAGAATCAGTCTCTGGGTTCGTCCATTTAACCAATTCCAGATCCACCTCCCATGGAGAAGGTCTCGGAAAGAGGTCCCATGCCTCCTTCTAGTTCTCCTTTGAAAACAACACAGAAGAGCCTCTTTTGAAAGAGTTCAGAGCCATGTTTTGCTTCCATTTTGGTCTTTTCTCCCAGTTCAAAGCAGAATGGTTTCCTAAAAGAACACCTTTTCTATTCAGCGATGGTAATAATTACGGGGAAACAAGGAACGGAGCCTCGAAGGGATGCATGCAGTGCTCCCAGGGGCCATTGTGGAGCTAAGCAAAACTCCTCGATGGGCTGCATGTAAGAAAATGGCATTGGGAGGGTATGCTGTGCTCCTGCCCTATGGACACACTGTCCTCACACCCGGGCCAACATGCCTGAGCCAAGGAGCAGATGGACAAAGCAGAGGCATAAACATTCCCACTCACCTCGACCATGAAGGAGACGGCAAAGTTGACCAAGAGCATGATGAGCAGGGAGACCCTCCAGAGCATTGGGGTGCACACGAGCTGCAAAAAAAAAGAGAGGAAGAAGACAGGTGGAAATCCATTAGAGATGATATTATTATTATTATTATTATTATTATTATTATTATTATTATTATTATTATTATTTGAAACACAAGATGAGTCCACAGCAGACAAGATCACTCTGCTGGCTGTTGTATTGGATCACACGTTAGACCTTTCCCAAGTGTCTAGGACTGTGTGATGTATTGATGAATAATGCGTGCAGATCCCAGTAAGGTGGCCTTTTGCAGCTGGCAGATGGCAATTTTGTCAGTGCCTATTGTGTTTAAGTGCAGGCCAAAGTCTTTAGCCACTGCACCCAGTGTGCCGATCACCACTGGGACCACCTTTACTGCCTTGTGCCAGAGTCTTTGCAGTCCGATCTTTAAATCCTCTTATCATGTCAGCTTTTCCAGTTGTTTCTCTCCAATCCTGCTGTTGCCTGGGATTGCAATATCGACAATCCATACTTCATTTTTTAACACGATCATGAGGTGAGGAGTGTTGTGCTCCAAAACTCTGTCTGTCTGAATTTGGAAGTCCCAGAGTAGCTTGACATGTTCATTCTCTGTCACTTTTTCTGGCTTGTGATCCCACCAGTTCTTTGTCGCAGGCAGATGGTCTTTGTGGCACAAGTTCCAATGAATCATCTGAGCAAGGGTGTTGTGCCTCTGCTTGGAGTCTGTCTGCATGACCTCCTTGCAGCAGCTGAGGATGTGATCCATTGTTTCGCCTGCTTCTTTGCAAAGTCTACACTTGGGATCTGTCCCTGACTTTTCAATTCTGGCTTTGATGGCATTGGTTCGAATGGCTTGTTCTTGGGATGCCATGTTTTTGATTTGTCAATTTGGCTCTCAATATTTCCCAGGAACTGTCCATGGAGAGCCTTCTTTGGCCAGTTTTCTCTTCTGCTCTGCATTGTGTTTTTATGGTATTCACTCAGAAGCGGCCCTAGGTAATTTTCAACGGTAAGCAAACAATATTTTGCCCCCCCCCCCCAACCAATCATTGATATATATTTTCTGTTCGTCGTGGGAGTTCTGTGTGCCATATTTGGTTCAATTCCATCATTGGTGGAGTTCAGAATGCTCTTTGATTGTAGGTATACATCCCAGTAACTACAACTCGCATATGTCAAGATCTATTTTCCCCCAAGAGTGCCTCAAGAGCGCCCCTGGGCAAAATCAACTATACTGCAAATGCTTACTTTGCGTAATGGGTTGACCGCCCCTGTATTCACTCTTTGCCTTTTGCACTTGAAGCAGTTTTCTACCCTTGTCTTCCCTCAATGTTGGTTCTTGACTGCCTTTCCCATCATCTACTAATCCATGTTTCTCTTTTTCTGCCGTTCGTTTCCCTTGCAGAATCCCTCTTCTCTCTGCCTCCTGATTTTCTGGGCAGGTAAAATCTGTCAACATCACTATGCAGGTATAATGAGCAGTGGATTGTCATCGGTTTTCTTGTTTTTCTGTCAGATTATTATTAATATTATTAATATCATACTGGGAAGAGACATACCACCCGTGGAGCCTGCAGGTGTGTCCAATGGGAAGTCTGACTTGCCCACGGTGATCCACGCTCTGTTTACATCCTGAATAGATTACTGCAATGCACTCTACATGGGGTTGCCTTTGAAGACTGTTCGGAGACTTCAACTAGTCCAACGGGCAGCAGCCAGATTACTCACCGGAGCGCCATACAGGGAGCATACCACCCCGCTGCTGCGTGAGCTCCACTGGCTGTCGGTCCACCTCTGAGCACAATTCAAAGTGCTGGTCTTGGCCTATAAAAGCCTATACGGCTCCGGCCCAGCTTACTTATCTGAACGTATCTCTCTCTACGTTCCACCTCGTAATTTAAGATCTACTGGGGAGGCCCTGCTCTCGGTCCCGCCAGCGTCTCAAACGCATCTGGTGGGGACAAGGGACAGGGCCTTCTCAGTGGTGACCCCCCCGCTTGTGGAATTCACTCCCCAGCGAGATTAGATCGGCATCCTCCCTCCTTACTTTTAGGAAAAAACTAAAGACGTGGTTATGTAATTTTAATTAATATCACTGCTTAATTGTTATGTAATGGATTTTATATTGCTGTTTTATATTGTTGTTTCGATACTGTTGGCATTGAATAGTTGCCTGTGTTAGCCGCCCTAAGTCCCCCCTCGGGGGTGAGAAGGGCGGGGTAGAAATGGTCTAAATAAATAAATAAATAAATAAATAAATAAAACCACAAGGAAGAGGCCTGGATTTATCAGTTTATTTTGGGAAGGGAAGAATGGTGTTTGATGGGGATCAGGAAGTGGGTCCCTACTGCCTGATTTTAAGAAGTAAGGACAAATTCCAGTATTATATGTATTTTGTTTCTGCTTCATATTTTTGCTTTGGGCTTTGAGCTTGCCTTCAGTAACAAATGAGCAACAAGATTATGAGCATGCAGAAGGAGACATCACTAGTTGTTGTTGTTCTCGTTCTTGTCGCTGTTGTTGCAAGAGGTTCCTGCATTGGCATTTTGGGGAATGCCCACCAGCTGTTAGGAATTGTGGGAGTTGAAGTCCTAAACACCCGAAGGGCCAAAGTTTGCCCATTCCTGGCCTATAAGAAGCCACTTCCCTACGGAGAGATGCCATGACGTCCAACAATGTTAATTAGACCCACCACCACTAGTCCCAACAAAAACAACCAATAGAACTGGCAAAACTGAGCCCATGGAGCCTCCTCCCCCTTGGACCCAGGGAGAACAAACTTACTTCCATTCGTACATAGAGATCCTCAATGTTGGCAAAGAGAAGGAACAGGCAGACGGCCAGCTGGACCACCAGCACCAGGACAAAGAGGTCTGGAAGGACAACAACAAAGGGCAAGTTGAGGGGGGCAAAGACCAAATGTGGCACCTCAAAAAGGCCAATGTGATCTCAACTACATCAACAGGAGTCTAGTGTCAAGATCAAGGAAAGCTCTAGTCCTGTTGCGGAATATACATTACCCGGGATCATGAGAGTGCTTTTGGAGAAGGAAGAAAGATGGAGGCAGCTTGGCACATTTCCAGGCGTTTATTCTATCTCCGGAGTATAGGGTGAACAGTTCCAATGTCTGTCACAACCTTGAAGTCACAATTGTTCCAGTTTTTATAGCATAAAATTGCTAGTTTTTAAACATGCGCAAAATGAATCTGACATTTACACAATACAATCATTAACAGGTGTTTTCATGTATAGTTGCCAAGGACATCTTTATCGGGTCTTGGCAGGCACATTGTGACCCCAAACATCTGCTTGGTTATATAACTTATCTCAACTTTCACCCGTTACCCTAAGATGACACGTTCAATTGCTTTAAATCTAATTGAATTATAACTTTTATATGCTTATAACATAAGATTTGATCAAGGCAATCTCCTAATCAATCCAGCCTTAATAATTCCATTATAAGTTATTTCTTAATATGACGACCAAAGGAATTTGCTTTTGGATGAAATGTTTCTGAAATTGCCTGCTATTTACATTAAGTGGTCAGAGGATGGTGCTTTCTCACCATATGATCTTAGAGGTTCCAAGTCTTGGATCGATATATTGATTTCTGTGTCCTGCCAAATTCTCTTGTTTACTTCATATCTTTGTCCACATCGGCTAGAACAAACATCAGCCAGAACATACTGACCCAAAGTCCAGTGTCAATCAATATCTGTAGGTTTTTGCATGCTTGCAAATTTACTCCCTGGATCAACTCCCTGGTAGGAACAAGAATCTTCTATTTTATTCTAAATTATTATGATTTCCCTTTATTATTTTATTTTCCTCCTAACGGCTGCCAAAGTCCCACTCTCTTCTCATTTGGTCAGAGCTCTAAATGGAATAACCCTGTGGTCCAGTTCTCAGGAGGAATGCGGACAAGTTGGAAGGGGTTCAAGAAAGGCAACCAAAATGGCCCAAAGTATCAAAACTACGAATCCCTCTGAGGAGCATTCGAGAGAGTTGGGAATGTTGGCTTGGAGAAAAGGGGGCGTGGGAGCCATATCTCATTGAGGAGGAAGCCAGCTTGTTTTCTGCTGCTCGAGAGGCTGGGACACTATGGAGCAATGGACCAAAGCAGAAAAGAGTGGGACTATGACTTCCCTACATCCAGAAACTAGACTCCTATTGATGTTCAGCTTATGGTCTACTAAGACTCCTAGATCCCCTTCCCATGGACTATTTTCAAGCAACAACAACAGCGATGATGACCCAGGCAACCTGATGCTCAGCCTTCCCTTCCCTTTCCCGCTGCCCCCTAGCCTCTTACAATTTTGATAGATGGGCTTCCGGAAGGGCTTCCCCTTGGAGAAGACCACGGCCACCATGAGGCAGCTGATGGTGCTGAGCAGCCAGACCGAGGTGTTTTCGTAGCTCCGGTAGTCCTCCTCTTGCACTGTCGCCATGGGGGCCTCCGTTGTGATGGCCAGGCTGCTGAGCCCCAAAGTGAGGTTGGCCACAGAAGGGGGCTCCAGGGAGCTGCCGTTGCTTGGAGCACAAGCCCTGGAAAAGGAATCCAGATGGAGATGAGTCTGAGAGAAACACAAGGCTATCCAAGGCAATGCAGGACATCACATTCGTCTTGTGGCTGGCTTTGTGGGAGAAAGAAGAGGGGCCAAACTGCAACTGTCCCCGAGGAAAGGGCTCAAGGACAGGGAAAGACTGGAAGAAAAGCTCCTCGATCCATATTCCCCTTGTAACACAAACAAGCAGAGTAGGAGTGTATTGTCGAAGGCTTTCATGGCTGGAATCACTGGATTGTTGTAGATTTTTTCGGGCTATCTGGCCATGGTCTAGAGGCATTCTCTCCTGACGTTTCACCTGCATCTATGGCAAGCATCCTCTGAGGTAGTGAGGTGATCCTCACTACATCTGAGGATGCTTGCCATAGATGCAGGCGAAATGTCAGGAGAGAATGCCTCTAGACCATGGCCAGATAGCCCAAAAAATCCTACAACAATCCAGAGTAGGAGTGCATCTACACCAGATGTGGGCAAACTTCGGCCCTCCCTCCAGGTGTTTTGGACTTCAACTCCCACAATTCCTAACAGCCCTGTTAGGAATTGTTGTAGTTGAAGTCCAAAACACCTGGAGGGAAGGCTAAAGTTTTCCCAAGCATGGTCTATACTGTGGAATGGATGCAGTTTGGCATCACTTGAGCTGCCCAAACTCAATTCTGTGGAAATGCTGGGAGTTGTAGTTTTACAAAGTCTTTCACCTTCTCTGCTATAGAGTGCTGGTGCCTCATCAAACTAGACATCCCATGATTGCATAGCATTGGGCCAGGGCAGTGAAAGCAGGGTCAAACTGTAAATTCACTCTGTAGTGTAGAAATGCTACAAAACTCATGTTTTTGCCTTGAAATGCTATAATGCTATGATGCTTTTTCCTTGGATTACTATAATGCTGTGGTGACTTTTTTGCCCTTATATGCTGCCATGCCGAAGATGTACCTGACAACATTAATAGAAAACAATGTTTGTATTAATTGCCATTTTGAAATGTGTTTCAAGACTCTTTCAAGTAGAAGGGAGGAGGGAGAGCTAAGAGTGAGCTGTCAACTTACAAACAAAGGGACATTCAGACTCACTCAAGTCAAGGCTAAATTCGGTTTGGGAGAGTCACAGGTAAAGACAAAAAACAGTTGCAAACTCTGAATCAACAATAGGGCCCAGTCTGAAGAATCTTGGGCATGCTCAGTGCAGTCAGTAAGTTTCAACTGACCACCTTGATTAGCATTTGATGGCCTGGCAGTGCCTGGAGCAATCTTTTGTTGAGAGGTGTTAAGATGTCCCTGATTGTTTCCTCTCTGCTGTTTTGCTGTTGTAATTTTAGAGTTTTTTTTAATACTGGTAGCCAGATTTTGTTCATTTTCATGGTTTCCTCCTTTCTGTTGAAATTGTCCACATGCTTCTTGTGGATTTCAATGGCTTCTCTGTGTAGTCTGAAACATTCCCACCTAGCTCCAGCAGACAAGAGTCCTTTGTCCCACCCTGGTCATTCCACAGATATATAAACCCATTTTCCTAGTTCCAACAGACCTCACTACCTCTGAGGATGCTTGCCATAGATGCAGGCGAAACGTCAGGAGAGAATGCCTCTAGAACATGGCCATATAGCCCGAAAAAACCTACAACAACCCAATGCTATGACACTTTTGCCCTGATATGCTGTAATGTTTTTGCCCTGAAATGTTACAATGTTGTGACACTTTTGCCTTGAATTCCAATGAAGCTTATGCACTGTAATGCTATCGTGCTTTTGCCCTGCATCCCTCTTCTTTTATGACACTTGCCCTGAAGCGCTATGATGCTTTTGCCCTTGAATGGCGGCATTAAACCTTCTTGCACCTTGGGCACTTCCTCTCCTGACTCCGGCCATCAGCTCCTCGGCTGCCTGGCTCTGCTGCTGCTCTTGCTCTGAGGGAGAGGCTGCAAATTCCTACCTGAAGAAGTCTTCCTTGTGGTACCAGGGCTGCCGCTGGACCAGGATGAAGCCACAGACCTGGGTGGCCAAGCTGAAGAGCAGGTTCAGCACCACGGAGAGCAGCAGCGGAGGGGAGGTCAGCCGGGCAGGGGGGCGGAAGGGGACCAGCTTTGGGTGCGCTCCGTTCAGGCTCACTGCAAAGGGAAAGACCATCAAGAGCATGCACTATTCCCAGGTGGCCTCCCTCAACCCCAAAGCATCCAGGGGTGTTCATAGAATCATAGAGTTGGAAGAGACCCCCCCCCCCACAAAGGTCACCCAGTCCAGCTTCATTCTACCATGCAGGAAAATCACAATCCCAGGACCCTTGACAGATGGCATTAGCAGGTTAATGGAAAGACCTGGCTATAGGATCAAAGGCCCTGAGAGTTGGAAAGGACCCACTAAAGGACCATCCAGCTCAACCACTCTTCTTCCAGCCAGGAAGAGATTTCCAGCCTCTTTCTGAGGAGACTCAACTCCCTCTCTGGGTAACTGGTTCCTTGGCTTTCACTGAAAGGAAGTTCCTTCTGAGGCTGGATCACCACTGCCCTATATCCCAGGATCTGATCCCAAATTATCTTCTTATCCAAGATTATTTGGCACTGTAGACTCATATGATCCAGATCAGAAAATCTGGGATCAGATCCTGGGAAAAAGACAATGTATACTTCATAACTATTAGGCCTGGGTAACAACGGAAAAATTTGTTTCTAAAATCGATTTGTATTTGGGGGTTTTTTTTTGTTTCGATATTTAAAATAATTACAAAATTTTCCTTTTAAAAAGTTCGATATTTACGAAATTTCGTAAATGGTAAAAATTAACGAATCGATTTCTGAAACAATAACGAATCGATTCGTTAATGGCGGACGCGACCGCGAAATACGCTAAAAAACCTCCAAAACCTTCTGAAGCTTCCCTCTCCCTCTGTTGTTGACTGTTGGTGTGATATTTTTTTTTTTCACTAATTACTGTCTTGGATTTTTTTTATTTATAATTTTTTTTTGTTTTTTTTCACTTAATTTTACAACCATAAAACCGGCCCCAAGAAACATCGGAAATTAATAAGAAAACGACCCCCTCAAGACAATACGAAAACGATACAATCTCGAATAACAAAGCAAAATTTTACAAAACGTTGTTTTTTGAAAATTCCTTTTGTTTTTGTTTTTTTTAATAATTGCTCCAGAATGGTTCGTTATCGTTTTGAAATTGAAAAAATTAACGAATTATTAACGAATTACGAATTAACGAAACGAAACCGCCCAGCCCTACCAGCCTTAGTTTCAATTGAAATCTACCCTCCCAAAACTTGAAATCATTGCACTTGGTCCTAACCTCTTGGGCAGAAAAGGGTCATCACTATCACTTGTATGCCAGCTGCATCCATACCTTGAGATGCCAGACTTGGCCACGGTACTCCATGCCTTGGTCACATTCCATTTGGACTACTGCAATGCTCTATACATGGGGCTGCCTTTGAAGACAGTTCGGAAGCTATAACTGGTTCAGAGATCGGCAACCAGGTTTCTAACTGGAGCACCAAACATGGAGCAAACACCTCCTACGTTAGGGCAGCTCCACTGGCTGCCAATCTGCTTCCAGGCTAAATGCTTCAGGCCTAGATTATTTGAAAGACTGCACCTCCATACACAAACCAACACGAGCGCTCCAATCACTGGAGGAGATCCTCCTCTCAGTCCCACCCTTGTCTCAAGCACGGCTGGTGGGAATGAGAGAGGAGGCCTTTTCTGTGATGGCTCCCCATCTCTGCAACTCCTCCCTAAAGAGTTAAAATGGCCTCCTCTCTCTTCTCCTTCAAAAAGTTATTAAAAACACATCTAGGCAATTTAGCTTACCAAGAGGAGGAGGATTAAGTACATCTGTTTGCACCTGACCTAGGTGTCAGCAGCCACCCTGGTAACCTGCTGTTTTCCATTTCTCCCCCAACAGGTTTAGCCTATTTTTAGAGATTTTAAGTAATATTTTAAGGATGTAATATGTGAGTAATTATGTGCATTAAGTTATGTCTTGTTCAATTATGTTGGCTTATAATTTATTATTTCCTGGTTTGTTTATTGATTTGCTTATATATTACTGTTGGCATTGAATGTTTGGCATAGTGCATTTTGTTGTGAGCTGCCCTGAGTTCCTTTAGGGAGATAGGGTGGACTATCCATAAAGTTTCATTCATCACCATCATTATCCCCTTCACCTTAAGTGATACCCCACCTTTCCATGCAAACAATGGGATTAAAAACATTATAAATTCAACATTACTATCTAAGTGAACTGGTCTCATTATTTTAGCATGAACTGCATAGCATCACAGAACCCTAGAGCTGGAAGAGACCCCCAGAGGCCATCCAATCCAGCCCCCTTCTTTCCGCCAGGCAGAAAGGCACCATGGAGTTGGAAAGAGATGACGAGTAGCTACAAAGAGTGCGACGGCTGAGAGCTTACTTGTCAAGCCAATGAGGGTGTTGATGGCCAGGTCTTGGAACAGAAACTGGTAGTTCCCAAAGGAGTTGGTTTGCTGAAGAAAAGGAAGGCAAGGGCCCTGTTAGGGTCTGGGTGGCCCACTGCCCTCCCCGTTGCCCCACTGCCCCTTTCCCTCCTTTTGCCTATACCGTGCCTGGACTTAAGTCTGATCTACAAGGGTCAAATCCCACTCATGTGGTAGCCACTTGGTGCATTTGGCTTGGCTGCTCAGCAAAAGCAGGCCAACTTGGAAGACCCTCTTGCATCTCAAACGGGTGTCAACCTGCACTCTAAATGCACCCCCATGTCTCTTGGTGGAGCCAACACTCAAAAACTTCATGGCAATCGCATGGTTTCATGCCAAGGGCAACCACTGGCACACAAAAAAGTGGCAGACATATTAACAGTGAGCTAGAGGCTAGTGGAGAAGCCATGGGTGCTGAGTGGGGGCATTTGCAAAGACTCTGAGGTTGAGGAGGAACGAGATGTTGTCATCATGTCTCCCACAGAAACTGCCTGGTACCCATTTAAGTCCATCTTTATCATTCTAAATCTTAGAATCATAAAATTATAGAATTGTAGAGTTGGAAGAGACCTGGTGGGCCATCATCCAGTCCAACCCCATTCAAAGCACCCCTGACAGTTGGCCATCCAGCTTCTGCTGCAAAGTCTCCAAAGAAGGAGCTTCCACCACGCCCTCTCCGGGGCAGAAAGAGAGTTCCACTGCTGAACGGCTCTCACAGTCAGGAAGCTCTTCCTATTGTTCAGATGGAATCTCCTTTCTTGTTGTTTGAAGCCATTGTTCCATTGCGTCCTAGTCTCCAGGGAAGCAGAAAGGAAGCTTGCTCCCTCCTCCCTATGACTTCCTCTCACATATTTATACATTGCCCTCATCATGTCTCCTCTCAGCCTTCTCTTCTTCAGGCTAAACATGCCCTGCTCTTTAAGCCGCTCCTCATAGGGCTTGTTCTCCAGACCTTTGATCCTTTTAGTCACCCTCCTCTGGACACATTCCAGCTGTCAACATCCCCCATCAATTGTGGTGCCCAGAATTGGACACAATATTCCAGGTGTGGTCTAACCAAGGCATGATTATAATATGATCACACTGGGTAGATTCGGCTCTGCAGACCACAGCCCCAAATGGAAAAAAAAGATTGGAGGGGGATGCATTTCCCTACCCAATAGAGTAGGAGGACCCCAATGTACTGGATGATGCTGTAGAGAGCCATGTACTTGAACATGCAGAAGGAAGTGACCAGAGCAGCCCGGCCTTGCCTGCAGGAAGGAGGAAAAGAATCAGTGGTCGGTATTATTATTATTATTATTATTATTATTATTACACAGGAGATACAGTTAAGCCACTAAAGCTGCAGAAATTGCTGACCAGAAGGTCGGTGGTTTGAATCCATGGGACCAGGTGAGCTCCCACTGTTAGTCCCAGTTTCTGCCAGCCTAGCAGTTTGAAAACATGCAAATGTGAGTAGACCAATAGGTACTGCTTTGGCAGGAAGGTAACGGCGCTCCATACAGTCATGCTGGCCACATGACCTTGGAGGCATCTATGGACAACACCGGCTCTTTGGCTTAGAAATGGAGATGAGCATAGAACCATAGAATCAAAGAGTTGGAAGAGACCTCATGGACCATCCAGTCCAACCCCATTCTGCCAAGAAGCAGGAATATTGCATTCAAAGCACCCCTGACAGATGGCCATCCAGCCTCTGTTTAAGTTTCCAAAGAAGGTCCTAGAATCATAGAATCATAGAATCAAAGAGTTGGAAGAGACCTCCTGGGCCATCCAGTCCAACCCCATTCTGCCAAGAAGCAGGAATTTTGCATTCAAATCACCCCTGACAGATGGCCATCCAGCCTCTGTTTAAAAGCTTCCAAAGAAGGAGCCTCCACCACACTCCGGGCAGAGAGTTCCACTGCTGAACGGCTCTCACAGTCAGGAAGTTCTTCCTCATGTTCAGATGGAATCTCCTCTCTTGTAGTTTGAAGCCATTGTTCCTTGCGTCCTAGTCTCCAGGGAAGCAGAAAACAAGCTTGCTCCCTCCTCCCTGTGGCTTCCTCTCACATATTTATACATGGCCCTCATCATGTCTCCTCTCAGCCTTCTCTTCTTCAGGCACCAGAGTCCCCGAGTAGGACACAACTGGAGTTAATGTCAGGAGGAAACCTTTGCCTTTACAAGCCAAGAGCTTATGTGGACGTTTTTATGGGAATGACCTCAAATCTATTGGACTCAAGAAAGGCTCTCTTGGAAAAGAGGATGAGTATAGTCACTTCCAGTACAAGGTCGGGGACGGAATCCCTTCATGGGGTTGTTGTAGCTCCCTGGACACCCTCCCAATGCAACAGCTCCACTTCTGGGGAGGGGGGGTAAGACCCCTCCCCTCCTTTCCCCATCTCACCTGACCAGCTCCGGGACACACTGGATGTTGGGGATTTGGGAGGTGAAGGGCGAAGCCACGGAGGCCTCCTGCTCCGAGAGGGAGATCCCCGCATGGGCCACTTTCAGCGCCTGCAAAAGCATTGACCTGGGTCAGGACCCCACAAAAAGGAAAGCAGCACAGCCCCACACCTCTTCTGGGTTTCAGTCCAGACTTTGCAGGTATATATAGTTTCCAACAGACTTCGCAACCTCTGAGGGTGCCTGCCGTAGATGTGAGTGAAACGTCAGGAGAGAATGCTTCTGGAACATGGCCAGACAGCTCAGAAAACTCACAGCAACCCAACATTTTTAAGGTTCAAAAGATATTCACGACATGCGGATGGCAATCCTTCTGCAGAAGGGTCTGAGCAGAATGTTTAAACTCACCCCACAGTCGTTGGCCCCGTCTCCACACATCCCCACAAAGTAGCTGGGAAAGAAGAGGAAAGGAAAGTGGTAGTAGGTTAGTCAGATGTTGCCCTTGGCTATCTATCTGCAGGCAGCCTTTGGTCCCCTGCTCTCTGCCCCATTTCCATTAATCTTTCCAGTGTCTCCCAGACCCACATGAGGGGTGCCCCCTTTCCGCCATGGCAACTAGTCTAATTCATGGGGAGGAATGAAGGAGAAGCCTAGCTTTCTGTCTCACTCACTCCAGCTTCTGGAAGTCTTGCACCAGCTTTGCTTTCTGGGCAGGAGACATCCGGGCAAAGACCGTCCCGTTCAGGAGGATCTGCAGGGAGAGAAAGGAAAGACACAGTCAGGGTGGGGAAAAGTCTGAAGATGGGGAGGTTTTGGAAGAGAAGGCATTTGGGTGCAAAAGGGGGAGAATTGGGGTGCAAAGGACAGAGAAGCCTGTACCCCTTCATGATAGGGGGGGATAGCCAATACTCCAGAGGATAGGAGCAGAATTCAAAATGATCTTGACAGATTAGAGAGATGAATGGCCTAAACTAACAAAATGATGTTCAACAGTGACAAATGCAAGAGACTCCACTTTGGCAGGAAAAACGAAATGCAAAGATACAGAATGGGGGACCATGCCTGGCTCGAGATCAGGACGTGTGAAAAAGATCTTGGAGTCCTCGTGGACAACAAGTTAAACATGAGCCAACAATGTGATGTGGCGGCAGAAAAAGCCAATGGGATTTTGGCCTACATCAATAGGAGCCTAGTGTCTAGATCGAGGGAAGTCCTGCTCCCCATGCTCTATTCCGCCTTGGTTAGACCACACCTGGAATATTGTGTCCAATTCTGGGCACCACAATTCAAGAGAGATATTGACAAGCTGGAATGTGTCCAGAGGAGGGCGACTAAAATGATCAAGGGTCTGGAGAACAAGCCCTATGAGGAGCGGCTTAAGGAGCTGGGCATATTTAGCCTGAAGAAGAGAAGGATGAGAGGAGATATGATAGCCATGTATAAATATGTGAGAGGAAGCCACAGGGAGGAGGAGGGAGCAAGCTTCCTTTCTGCTTCCTTGGAGACTAGGACGCAATGGAACAATGGCTTCAAACTACAAGAGAGGAGATTCCATCTGAACTGAGGAAGAACTTCCTGACTGTGAGAGCCGTTCAGCAGTGGAACTCTCTGCCCTGGAGTGTGGTGGAGGCTCCTTCTTTGGAAGCTTTTAAACAGAGGCTGGATGGCCATCTGTCAGGGGTGATTTGAATGCAATATTCCTGCTTCTTGGCAGAATGGGGTTGGACTGGATGGCCCAGGAGATCTCTTCCAACTCTAGGATTCTATGACTCTATGATGGGGAGGTTTTGGAAGAGAAGGCATTTGGATGCAAAAGAGGGTAATTGGGGTGCAAAGGACAGAGAAGCCTGCACCCCTTTGAGCAGAGAGTTGCTTTCCTCTGCTTTTGGGCCAAGCATTTTGAAGGAGTAATAGGAATGAAGGACAAATACTGACTTTACAGGCAGTCCCCAAGTTACAAACATCCGACTTACAAACGACTCCTTGTTAAGAATGGGGGTGAGACAACAGGAAGTGAGCGGAATCTCCCCCTCGGAAGGAAGGAAGGGAAATCCACTCATGGGGGGGAAGGGTCTCTCCACTGAAGCTTTCTCTCCAATCCTTGTCTCTACAATAAGCCACAATTTTCAAAATCCAGTTCTCACAAGAGACAGAAAGCTCAGCAAAATCTCCTGAACAGAGGCACAGGCACCACAGGAGGTGTTCACCCTTCCCTATGTTATGCCAAGTGTGTGTGTGTGTGTGTGTGTGTGTGTGTGTGTGTGTGTATCCATTATGAGTCCCTTCGGGGAGATAAGGCGATCTAGAAAAAGATGATGATGATGATGATGATGATGATGATGATGATGATTATTATTATTATTATTAGAAACACAACAAGATGAGTCCACAGTAAACAAGATCACTCTGCTGGCTGTTGAATTGGATCACACGTCGGACCCTTCCCAAGTGTCTAGGACTGTGTGATGTATGTATGTATGTATGTATGTATTTATTTATTTATTTGCTTTACTTCTATACCGCCTTTCTCAGCCAAAAAAGGCGACTCAAGGAGGTTTACATAGTAAAGGTTAACACAACAATATCAAAAAGCAGTTAAAACACATTATACAAGACATATCAAACCAAGCAATCAATTAACATAGACGTGCGCCTCAGCAAACAAACCAGAATCAGAATCTGCAATCATAGTCCTTTATACCAATTCCTATGTTCAGTTGTACCATCTTACTGTGTTTCATTGCACAATTAGCCAAACGCTTGTTCATAAAGCCAGGTCTTGACCTTCCTCCGGAATGCCAGCAGTGAGGGGGCCTGTCTGATGTCCACAGGTAGGGCGTTCCACAGCCGGGGGGCCACCACCGAGAAGGCCCTGTCTCTCGTCCCCGCCAACCGCGCCTGCGATGCGGGCGGGACCGAGAGCAGGGCCTCCCCAGACGATCTTAATGTCCTAGTCAGTTCATAGGAGGAGATGCGTTCGGAGAGGTAAGTAGGGCCAGAACCGTTTAGGGCTTTATAGACTAGAGCAGGGGTAGGGAACCTTTGGCCCTCCAGCTGTGGTGGACTTCAACTCCCACAATTCCTTGGGCCCGGCATTCGCCCCAAAGGCTTACCTTGGCCCAATGCCGAGCCTCAAGGAATTGTGGGAGTTGAAGTCCACCACAGCTGGAGGGCCAAAGGTTCCCTACCCCTGGGCTAGAGCAAGCACCTTGAATTGTGCCCGGTAGCAGATTGGCAGCCAGTGGAGCTGGCGCAACAGAGGAGTGGTGTGCTCCCTGAGTACCGCTCCTGTTAGCAACCTGGCTGCCGAACGTTGGACCATTTGAAGCTTCCGAGCAGTCTTCAAGGGCAACCCCACGTAGAGAGCGTTGCAGTAGTCTAAGCGGGATGTAACCAGAGCGTGGACTACCGTGGCCAAGTCAGACTTCCCAAGGTACGGTCGCAGCTGGCGCACGAGTTTTAACTGTGCGAATGCTCCCCTGGTCACCGCCGAAACCTGGGGTTCCAGGCTCAGCGATGAGTCCAGGGTCACACCCAAGACTGCGAACCTGTGTCTTCAGGGGGAGTGTGACCCCATCCAACACAGGCTGTAACCCTATACCCTGTTCGGCCTTGCGACTGACCAGGAGTACCTCTGTCTTGTCTGGATTCAGTTTCAATTTGTTCGCCCTCATCCAGACTGTCACAGCGGCCAAGCACCGGTTCAGGACCTCGACAGCCTCCTTAGTAGCAGGTGGAAAGGAGTGACAGAGTTGGACATCATCTGCGTACAGGTGACACCGCACCCCGAAACTCCGGATGATCTCACCCAGCGGCTTCATGTAGATGTTAAACAACATGGGAGACAGTATTGAGCCCTGAGGAACCCCACAAGACAACGGTTGTGGGGTTGAACAGGTGTCTCCCAGTAACACCTTCTGAGACCGTATCAGTGAATAATGTATCAGTGAATAATGCGTGCAGATCCCAGTAAGGTGGCCTTCTGCAGCTGGCAGGTAGTCATTTTGTCAATCAAATAATTGTGCAAATTATAAAAGTTGTAACAGGACCTACATTTGAACAACAACACCCTTTCTTTGTGGGGATGGAAGTTGGGGAGGATTTTTTCAGGTAACACACCTGGAGACTACAGGCAACACACAATGTGTTCTGACACACAGTTTGGAAAGCTCTGCACTAAGAGGTCCCTGCTGCCTGGCCAAGGTTGTGAAGATGGTGGCCAGGCTGCAAGAAAAGTCTTCCGGCCTGAACAGGTTTGCATTAGGAGATGTAGTCTTGTGGTTGGAAGGATATCTCCAGCCCCTTCCTCCGCATCTCCTTGGGAGGCTTCCCTGCAACTCACCCCCGGAAGCAGGTGACCGAAGTGCTGCCCAATGGCCTCGTAGCTCCTCCCGCTCAGGCAGAAATGGTGTTGTCCTCCTCCAAACTTCGCACAACTCTCCTGCCACAGAGAAAGAGGAAATGGGGAGATCGTCCAATTTGGGGAGCTGCCTCTTGGACTTCTGGGGGCTTGAAGGGAAGGGGGTCTTCTGTAAAGCAGGCCGTGCTCCAGTTCAAGGAGGCAGATTTGGGGTAAAGGGAGAGTCCCAGCCTTGCCAAGTTGGAGGCCATCCAGCCCAACCCCTTTTTGACACAAAGGAAGACTCCATCCAAACTTCCTTCAGCAACGATGCTGTCTACCTGCTCTGCTGTGCTCACCTCTGCTCCTCCGAAGGCGTCCGCTTTGCTCTCCCCCAAAGGGCTCCAGGTGATGGACGGTTGACCATCTGAAGCATCTGCCTCAACAAGGACCGCCTGGCTTCCCGGTGGGATCATCCCTGCATCCTTGGCCACCGTGATGGCCGTCTGGATGTTGTCCCCTAGAATGCCAAGATGGCGTGGTTACAATGAGGTCTACACACTCACAGAATCCTTGAGTTGGAAGGGAGCCAAGGCCACCCAGACCCACCTCCTTCTGACAATACACCAACAAAGCACTCCCAAGAGTAAGGCCATGCAATCTGCTTCTGCCTCAGGGTCCGGTGAAGTCTCTGGAGGTTTTAATGCAGAGGCTGGATGGCAATCTGTTGGAAAGGATTTGTTTATGTGTTCCTGCACTGGGTGGCCCTTGGGGTCTCTCCCAACTCTAGGATTCTATGAGACTCCACTGGTCTGCCAGGCAAGAGCGGATTCCATGATCAAACAGCTCTGACCATCTGGAAATTCCTCATAATGTCTCATGGATTGAGATACTAGACGGCCATTCAGAATGGTGGGAGTTGAAGTCCAAAACATTTGGAGGGCCAAAGTTTGCCCGTTGCCTGTACTAGCCTCCCCTTGATGCAGCCGAGCATTGTGTCGGCTTCTTTAGCTACTGCATCAAGTTTAGACTCTGGGAGTAAGAGGGACCGTCTTCCATAACAACCTTAAATATGCAGATGATACCACTTTGATGGCCGAAAGCAAGGAGGAGGTGAAAGAAGAAAGTGCAAAAGCTGGCTTGCAGTTGAACATACAAAAAGCCAAGATGATGGCAACCAGACTGATTGATAATTGTTCAATGGAGAAAAAGTTTCGGGCCTGAAAATAGCTGTTCTTTTATAATTTTGGGGTGATGAAAACGAAAATGACATTTAAAAATGTATATTGGCTAGGCCTGGGTAACAACGGAAAAATTTGTTTCTAAAATCGATTCGTTTTTTGGGGTTTTTTGCGTTTCGTTATTTAAAATAATTACAAAATTTTCCTTTTAAAAAGTTCGATATTTACGAAATTTCGTAAATGTGAAAAAAATTACAAAACATTAACGAATCGATTTCCGAAACATTAACGAATCGATTCGTTAATGGCGGACGCGACCGCGAAATACGCTAAAAAACCTCCAAAAACTTCTGAAGCTTCCCTCTCCCTATGTTGTTGACTGTTGGTGTGATATTATAATTTTTTTTCACTAATTAAACAAAAAACAACCATAAAACTTGCCCCAGACATGCGGAAATAATAACGAAACGACCTCAAAACAATAACGAAACGAATACAATAACGAAATACGAAGCATTTACAAAACTATTTAAAAATTCGTTTTTTAAAAAATTGCTCCAGAATGGTTCGTTATCGTTTTGTAATTGAAAAAATTAACGAATTATTAACGAATTACGAATTAACGAAACGAAACCGCCCAGCCCTAATTTTGGCTCTAGTTTTTATGATATAAGCAATCACGTGATCACGTATGGTTGAAAAAATGCATGTTGCGACTTACACTATGGAAGATTCTAGAATATTCTAGAAAGTTTGATGACGCAGTATTAGTGCCGTGTGCAAAAGCCAGAAAGCCCTATATAAGGCCAGACTTTTGAACGGTGAGGGTCAGTCAGTTGAAGACTGAGACAGTATCGTTAAGCGTTGTTTCACATTGTTCTTTTGACTGTAGTGATGCCTCCTCGCACGTGTGTAAATAAAGCCCTATGGAAAAAAGATATCAAGGCCAATGGACTCCGTCAATGCTGTCAGACTCCTGCTGGAGCATTGGAAGAGACAATCCTTTCCTTGAATACCAAAGAAAAGTCAAGAGAAGCAAACGGGATAGAAACTAAAGTCACGATTAAAGCGACATTTACACTTTCAGACTTTTCAACTGCATTAGGCCTACTAATAGAGTTTCTTACTGCACAAACATAAACAATAGACTAATTAAATAAATATTTCTCATGTATAAACTATTGGCAATATAATTTGACTAAAATTTAGTAAATATTCACGGTTTATATACATGCAGTAAGGTTAGGCGCATTATCATAATATTAACGAATTACCTATTGTGGAGAAAATTGAAATAGCTGTTGCATAAAAACCAGCGCCAATTAACACATTTAATTATTATATTTGAATTCAGCATGTTAAATTTATTAAGAAACGGCACATTTCGTTTCCGAAACTGAGAAAAACTGAAAATTTGTAGAACAGTGTAATCTGTCTTCCACAACAACCTTAGATATGCAGATGATACCACTTTGATGGCCGAAAGCAAGGAGGAGCCGAGGAGCCTTCTAACCAAGGTGAAAGAAGAAAGTGCAAAAGCTGGGTTGCAGTTGAACATACAGAAAGCCAAGATGAGGGCAACCAGACTGATTGATAACTGGCAAATGGAGGGAGAAAACGTGGAGGCCATGACAGTATTTCTAGGCATGAAGATGACTGCAGACGCAGACTGCAGCCAGGAAATCAGAAGATTTTTCCTTCTTGGGAGGAGAGCAATGTCTAATCTCAATAAAATAATGAAGAATGTTTGTTTATTTATTTATTTATTTATTTACGATATTTATAGCCCGCCTTTCTCAGCCATACGGCGACTCAGATTGGCACAATTTGATGCCAGGCATTCATAAAATGCCATTAAAAACAATCAACATTGCAATCTAAAACATATATAACAACCCTTAAATCATCGGTGTTAAAAATGTTATCCAGTCACATCGTCTGGCCACTCCATGTTCATCATTCATAGTTCCATGTTATCTATGCTGATGCATTCTCAAAAGCTTGCTCAAAGAGCCAGATCGTTACTTTTTTTGGAAAGTCGGGAGGAAGGGGGCTGATCTAATCTCCCTGGGAATAAAGTTCCATAGCCGGGGGGCCACCACTGAGAAGGCTCTGTCCTTCATCTCCGCTAATCGCACTTGTGAGGCAGGCGGGATTGAGAGCAGGGCCTCCCCAGACGATCTTAATCTCCAAGATGGCCCATAGGAGAGGATACATTGGGACAGGTAAGCTGGGCTGGAATCGTTTATAGAGACGTATATTGATTAGAGACATCACACTGGAAGAATATATAGAATAGGGACATCACACTGGCAACGAAGATCCAGTAACCTATGGATGTGAGAGCTGGACCATAAGGAAGGCTGAGCGAAAGAAGACAGATGCTTTTGAGCTGTGGTGTTGGAGGAAAACTCTAAGAGTGCCTTGGACCACGAGAAGATCCAACTAGTCCATCCTCCAGGAAGTAAAGCCCGACTGCTCATTGGAGGGAAGGAGAGTAGAGGCCAAGATGAAGTCCTTTGGCCACATCATGAGGAGACAGCAAAGCCTAGAGAAGACACTTGGAGAAGACAATGATGCTGGGGAAAATGGAAGGGAAAAGGAAGAGGGGCCAACCAAGGGCAAGATGGATGGATGGGATCCTTGAAGGGACTGACTTGACTCTGAAGGAGTCCCTGGGGGTGGCCACAGTTGACAGGGAGCTCTGGCATGGGCATATTGGCTCATGAATCGTATTTGAACCTTTTCAAAGTTTGTTTACACTTTGGCTACCAAACTATGCTGACCACACGAGGTCAATAATCATTCTATTGTTGGAGGCTTTCACTGCTGGAATCGCTGGGGTGTCGTGTGGTTTCCGGGCTGTATGGGCAATGTGTTCTAGCAGCATTTCCTCCTGACGTTTCGCCAGCATCCATGGCTGGATCCTCTGAAGAAGCCAGCCAGAGATGCAGGCGAAACATCAGGAGAAAATGCTGCTATGCAGCCGTGAACCGCACAACACCCCAGACTATGTTCATTTGTTTACTGGTTTGCTTCTGCATTCCCACCTTCCTCCTTGTACACAATCCAAAGCAGTAAAGAAAACTGGGATGCACAAAGTACAAAGGGCTTAATTTGCAGTTTACATGTAAACACAGAGTGATTGCGTGAAATAGAATTAAAAGCCAACGTAAAAGGATGAAGGCACGGTGCCAAAGTCCCACCTGTGACCATGACGGTCCGGATGCGGGCGTCCCTCAGCTCCTCCAGGACAGGCCTGGTCTCGCCCTTCAGCCGGTTCTCCATGACCAGGAGGCCCAGGAAGGTCAAGCCGGACTCAGCCGCTTCCCTGAACGGAAGGAAGAGGTGACATGTCCGCACAGGTGTGGTGGCCCTCGGCTCTCCTGAAGGCACTGCCCGGCTTTGCTCTCCTCCCAAAAGGGCCTCACCCCCAAGAAGCAGAGCAACAGCCATGGAGGTCTCCACCGTGCCATCCCCAGCACCTACTCTTTCCAGGTTCGGACTAAAACCCAGACAAATCCTCTACCCTACTGGACAAGACTGCATCCTTGGGCCACATGGAGAGACAGGGGGTGGACATCGCTCTCTCCAGTCGTAACCCTTTATCCCACGTGGACACCTTTAGCTTCAAAACTATGTCATCCACACAAGGTTCTCAGAGGAAATAAATCCATTTTACCTGTTTAGGGAATCTGTTCCCGTTCCTTCCGGGAGGCTCTTGTGTGCAAGTCCAATGACCCTGAAGCCCCGAGAGGTGTGGAGCTGGAGTTCACTGGTGAAACTGGGAGGCACTGGAGGGAGAGAAGGCAAACTGGGCACTCTGGCTCAGACGTTCAAGCAAAGCTTGGATGCATTTTCCCTATGTTTTAATATATTATATTATCTATATAAATAAAAATATAATGTTCAGTGTATTGTCGAAGGCTTTCATGGCTGGAATCACTGGGTTGTTGTAGGTTTTTTCGGGCTATTTGGCCATGTTCTAGAGGCATTCTCTCCTGACGTTTCACCTGCATCTGTGGCAAGCATCCTCAGAGGTAGTGAGGTCTGTTGGAACTAGGAAAAAGGGTTTATATCTCTGTGGAATGACCAGGGTGGGACAAAGGACTCTTGTCTGCTGAAGCTAGGTGTGAATGTTTCAACTGACCACCTTGATTAGCATACAATGGCCTGACAGTGCCTGGAGCAATCTTTTGTTGAGAGGTGATTAGATGTCCTTGTTTGTTTCCTCTCTGTTGTTGTGCTGTTGTAATTTTAGAGTTTTTTGATACTGGTAGCCTGATTTTGTTCATTTTCATGGTTTCCTCCTTTCTGTTGAAGTTGTCCACATGCTTGTAATGTTCGTTTGTGGGATTAACAGAACTCAAAATCCACTAGGTGAATTGACACCAAACTTGGACACAAGATTCCTAACAGGCCAATGAGTGACCATCACTCATAAAAACACTGAAAAACACTGCGGAAGAGACTTAAAAAGCCAAAACATATAAAAAAATACATTACAACGCATGTGCAAAACCACATATATACACATAGACACATATATACACACACACAAAACACATATACACAGGCTGGGCCACAGCAACGTGTGGCAGGGAATAGCTAGTTGTTGTTATTATTATTATTATTATTATTTGAAATGCAACAAGATGAGTCCACGGCAAACAAGACCATTCTCTTGGTTTTGTTTGCTGTGGACTCATCTTGCTGTGGACTCATCTTCCAACTCTTTGATTCTATGATTCTATGAAACATGAGTCCATGGAGAACAGTTGAAAACAAGGCCCAAATCCCATACTCAGGAAGCTAGAAGCGTGCTGCTAAAAGCCAAAGTTAATCCACAGAAGTTTGCATGGAAAAAGCTACGTTGAACTGACAACCCCTGCTTGTCAGCTACAAGGCTAAATACGCTTTACAGACATGAACGCATTGCGTTGACCTTTGGCCTCCTTGGCTTCTCGCTTGCTAGCCAAGCGAGTGCTTCTCTGGAGCCTGAATTGCAGACCATCTTGTCTGCTCATTAATTCATTATCTTAAAAACTCTGCAACCCCTTATCTTGGTCCAGCTGGACCGGATCACTGTGGGAAGGCAAAGACATCTCCACCTGGCCATGTGGGATTTCACTCTCGTTATCAGTCTCACTAATATTCCTTTCCCCTGGGAACTGACTTGCTGTTTCTCCTTCAGCAGCCCCACCATCAGCCCTGTCTGAAGCATGTACAGAAATCTGTAACCCATCAGCCTCCTCCTCATCCTGTAGGAATTCTGGCTCGGAAGGCCCACAGAACTCAGCTTCAGACTCAGAGTCAAGCTGAGCCACAACACTCGCCCAACAACACACAGTACTCACATCAACACAATCACCATAAACAGCTTGCATTCTCTGATGAATCTTCTTTGGGGTGACACCTCCTGCTGTCAAGAATGTACTGAGTGCACGTTGCTTAAGTCACATTGACCGACTGTATGCACACGGTTCCATACTTTGCACTTTAACAACACAACTATTCAATGCTAAGGCTTCCCACAAAAATGGAACTGTAGAGGAGAGTCCACTGAACAAGCCAGTCCCTCCCGCATACCAGCGCTGCCATCTGTTGAGGAGTTACGAAGGTGGAGGCATTACTTTTCATTCAACCCTTATTGTGGAAACAATATAGCTATTATAAAACCAGTGCTGGATCTATGTGTCTACTCCTTTCTCTGAAGGTGCCTGGTGTACTCTGTCCCACTGGAAATGGATTAAAGAAGATGTTAAAGTTCAAAACAACATTGATGAGAGTAGGAAAGGAAAGCCCTCCAAAAGCCCTGGCCGGTTACCTGTCTCTGGCCGGCAGAAGAGGGCCACCTTCTCGGGCGCCCCCTTCATGAAGACGTGCCTCTGGCCGCTGGGTTCCTGCGCCACGACGGACATCCGCTGCAGGGCTGAAGAGAAGGGGAATTGGCGTAAGACGGCCAGGCCTCCTCCGCCGGGAACAACCTGGGGGCAGAGAGGCGGAGGAGCTGGGCACCGGCCAGAGGTCCAAAAGGTCAGTGCAGACAGAGAGGGGGTTGGCATTGCTGCAGGGCGAGGGGTGGACTTCAATACGTCAAGGCCACCCTCTAGATCAGTGTTTCTCAACCTTCCTAATGCCACGACCCCTTAATATACTTCCTCATGTTATGGTGACCCCCCAACCATAACATTAGTTTCGTTGCTACTTCATAATTGTCATTTTGCTTATGTTATGAATAGTAAATATCTGATATGCTGATGGTCGTGCCATTACCGCTCAAGCAGGGAGCTTTGAGATGGTTGAACAGAAGCTCTCCGAAGCTCTAGGTGCTCTTACTGCCTATTACAGGGAAAACCAACTGATCCCTAATCCATCTAAAACACAGACATGTGCCTTTCACTTTAAGAACAGACAAGCATCCCGAGTTCTGAGGATCGCCTGGGAAGGAATCCCACTGGAGCGTTGCAACACACCCAAATACCTGGGAGTCACTTTGGACCGTACTCTGACTTACAAGAAACAATGCCTGAACATCAAGCAAAAAGTGGGCGCTAGAAACAATATCATACAAAAGCTGACTGGCACAACCTGGGGATCACAACCAGACACAGTGAAGACATCTGCCCTTGCGCTATGCTACTCTGCTGCTGAGTCTGCATGCCCAGTGTGGAACACATCTCACCACATTAAAACAGTGGATGTGGCTCTTAATGAGACATGCCGCATTATCACAGGGTGTCTGCGCCCTACACCACTGGAGAAATTACACTGCTTAGCCGGTATTGCACCACCTGACATCCGCCGGGAAGTAGCAGCCAATAGTGAAAAGACCAAGACAGAGACATCTCCAGCTCATCCCGTTTGGGTATCAGCCAGCACGTCAACGACTTAAATCAAGACATAGTTTTCTTAGATCTACAGAGACACTCGCTGGAACACCCCAGCAAGCGAGAGTCCAAAAGTGGCAGGCCCAAACCCAGCACCTCAATTCATGGGTGATACCAGATGAGAGACTCCCCCCTGGGCACACAGAAGACTGGGTGACTTGGAAGGCGCTGAACAGACTGCGCTCTGGCACCACGAGATGCAGAGCCAACCTTCAGAAATGGGGCCACAAAGTGGAATCCTCGACATGCGAGTGTGGAGAAGAGCAAACCACTGACCACCTGCTGCAATGCACCCTGAGCCCTGCCACATGATGCACAAGGGAGGACCTTCTTGCAGCAACACCAGAGGCACTCCAAGTGGCCAGATACTGGTCAAAGGACATTTAACCAACTACCAAGTTTGCAAAATCTGTGTGTTTTTTTTCTTTTTCTTTTTAATCTGTGTGTTTGTTTTGTTCTGTTAGAATTGTAACACAATGGTATGTTGCTGATGACACGATAAATAAATAAATCTGATATGCAAGATGTATTTTCATTCACTGGACCAAATTTGGCACAAATACCCAAAACACCCAAATGTGAATACTGGTGGGGTTGGTGATGTTGTCATTTGGGAGTTGTAGTTGCTGGGATTTATAGTCCATCTACAATCAGAGAGCATTCCGAATTCCACCCATGATGGAATTGAACTAAACTTGCCATACAGAACTCCCTTGACCAACAGAAAATACTGGAAGGGTTTGGTGGGCATTGACCTTGAGGTTTGGAGTTGTAGTTCACCTACATCCAGAGAGCACTGTGGACACAAACAATGATGGATCTGGACCAAACTTGCCATGAATACTCAACATGCGCAATGTGAATGAACACTGGTGGAGTTTGGGGAAAATAGACCTTGACATTTGGAGTTGTAGTTGCTGGGATTTATAGTTCACCTACAATAAAAGATCATTCTGATCCCCACCAATGATAGAATTGGGCCAAACTTCCCACATGGAACTCCTATGACCATCAGAAAATACTATGTTTTTGGATGGTCTTTGGCGACCCCTCTGAAACCCCCTCGTGACCCTCCCAGGGGTCCCGACCCCCAGGTTGAGAACCACTGCTCTACAGTGTAGATGCACCCTGAGTTTGAGAGTGACACCTGAGCTTACCTGTTCAGCCTTGGCTCCTGGTCTGACCACCAACACCTGTGCAGATTCTCCATCGTCCCCATCGTTACTGCTGGAATCGTCTATTTCCTGTGGGTTTAAATGGGAAAACAGGATTCCTCTCACCTGCACACATTTCAGAGGAAAGCTGGCCTGCAGGTGGCTAGCAATGAAATGGTGGATGCCACCTGCGTACCAAAGGACAGGTGATAACAAACACCTGATGGTTCAAATTATGTGGGTTTACTACATTGTGGGTTTACTACATCTCACCCAACCTTTTTAACTTGTATGCAGAACACATCATGCGATGTGCGGGGCTTGATGAATGCAAGGCTGGGGTGAAAATTGCTGGAAGAAACATTAACAACCTCAGATATGCAGATGACACCACTCTGATGGCCGAAAGCGAGGAGGAGCTGAGGAGCCTTCTAATCAAGGTGAAAGAAGAAAGCGCAAAAGCCGGGTTGCAGCTAAACATAAAAAAACCAAGATTATGGCAACAAGAATGATTGACAACTGAAAAATAGAGGGAGAAAATGTGGAGGCCGTGACAGACTTTGTATTTCTAGGCGCAAAGATTACTGCAGATGCAGACTGTGGCCAGGAAATCAGAAGACGCTTACTTCTTGGGAGGGGAGCAATGTCCAGTCTTGATAAAATAGTAAAGAGTAGAGACATCAGACTGGCAACAAAGATCCGCCTAGTCAAAGCCATGGTATTCCCTGTATTAACCTACGGATGTGAGAGCTGGACCTTAGGGAAGGCTGAGCGAAGGAAGATGATGCTTTTGAGCTGTGGTGTTGGAGGAAAGTTCTGAGAGTGCCTTGGACTGCGAGAAGATCCAACCAGTCCATCCTCCAGGAAATAAAGCCCGACTGCTCACTGGAGGGAAAGATACTAGAGACAAAGTTGAAGTACTTTGGCCACATCATGAGGAGACAGGAAGCCTAGAGAAGACAAATATGCTGGGGAAAGTGGAAGGTAAAAGGAAGAGGGGCCGACCAAGGGCAAGATGGATGGATGGCATCCTCGAAGTGACTGGACTGACCTTGAAGGAGCTGGGGGTGGTACGGCCGACAGGGAGCTCTGGCGTAGGCTGGTCCATGAGGTCACGAAGAGTCGGAGAAGACTGAACGAATGAACAACACTACATTGGCATAACTAGGCTGGCTTCTTATAAAGAAATACAGATCCTGACACGGAATTATTGTAAGAATGCTATTCTAAATCACACCGCTGGTCATCACTCTAAAGAACTATGTTAGGTGAAGGGACATTTAATACTGTCAGGGGGGAAATATCACACATCCCACCTGCTGACACCACTTTAAAGGATCCTAGTTACTAATCTAAAAGGAATATGATTCTTGGCACGGAGCAGCTATATGTATATGATGTAGCGTGTGTACTCTGGTAGATTTGCTGCCACCACCTAAGACAACTTAGGATATTAAAGATGATTTTCTGAGGTAAATTTCCTCCTCCCAACCCAATACAGCACTCCCTTAGCTCCCTGAGATGACTGTGATGTTAAGAGGTTAAATCAACTGGAATTATTCCCACAGGAATGAATTACAACTGAGGCTTCTTTAAAAGTTGAAATAGAGAAAAGATTTATTGATAAGATCAAACAAACAACTGACTTCTTCGATGAGGCACAAAAGCTTAAATGGTTACTAAAGTACAATATTCTTGATGGTTTCTTTAAACAGGTTACTGGACTCAATCACTAGTAAAACTCCTCACTCTACAATAACGCAGTAGCAGTGAGTTCCCCAGACTAACCTACTCAGGCTGTCTTCAGAGCAATTAGCCCACTCTAAGCAGAGTTCTCTATATAGCTAATCTACTCTACCCAGAGAGCAAACCACTTGTGTAAATTCACACAAGCACCCAGGCAACTACTTGACTGTCCTGGCCAATAATGCCGCCTTGCCTGTCACAAACACTCTCTGTCAGAAAAATCCTAAGCTCCAAAACACCTCTCCTCTCTTCTGTTCCCAAAACTCATCTCCCTGCTCTCTGTGAAGCTGTTAGAGACCTTAAATTGGGTCTTTTTAGGTCCACATCGCGGGAGCACGGAAGGAAGGAGACAGTCCCGATGAAAGATTAAAAAAACAAGGTTTTATTTTAGTTTCTTCATGAAGAAGACGGACAGCCGGGTAGCATGCGAAGATGTTACCCTTCAAATGACTGCCGTGCCCCCTTGGCTTTTGACCACCAAATATATAACCTCAAGTAAACAAGAACATTTTTTGTCATGGAAAAGTACTCTCTTTCCATCCCCCTCTCTTGACCTTTTGATGGAAAGTATCTTCTTGTACATGCGGTCTCTGCGCTTCAAAAGCAACATTTGAAGTTAACCACAAGCATCCTGTGTAAGAAAGTTCCCTCTTGTACTTAAAAACATTTTCTTCCGTATTGCCCTTTTTAAGTTGGAGAAAGGGCATGTCTCTCTTTTGCTGTTAATTTCATTCAAAGCCCCTTACTCAGAGACCATTGAGGCCTCCTTCAAAGCTGACGTTTTCCCCTGTCGGGACTTGGCTCCTCCTATCTGTCTTAACCAATCCCAAGAGATCTCCAGCTCCTCCCCCTCTTCCCACTTTACACTCACAAGATGTCTGCTTCCTTTGCTTACACTCCCAAAATGGAGGTCTGCCTTACTGATATTCCAGGCTTCTCCTTCGGCCTACTAGGTAAGAATCATCACACTTGTGCCAGGAAATGAGGCCCCTAGGCAGAAATATGGAGCTTAGAGCTGGAATACCTTGACTGCCTGTCATTACCGCAGCTCTACAAGGAAGGACCTCCTTCAAAAGTCCATCTATTATTGTCCTGTCCTATTTAATAAGACCCCCATAACTAGGGAGCCCATACCTGCATTTTCACTAATCTGTGGCCGGGGAAAAACTGATTCTCTAGAAACCTGCTGGTCCTCCAGGTGATTCTATGGTATGTTTCCCCTGGAGATTACCACAAAGTGACCTTGAAGGACCTAGCAAACTGTAGAGAAGATACCTCTAGGAAATTGCATGGTCGTCAACTTGGGTGCCATCTATACCGACCATTTAATGCAGATCATACTGCATTACATGGTCAGTATAGACAGGGCCTAGGTCTGGAAGTTGGGTAATGTTATAGTGTCTGGTTGTATCTGCAGTTTCAGATTGTTAGGGTGCATTCAGTGGGGAGAGATCTAGAGTTCATAAAGTGGTTAGAGATGTTGATTTAAGGAGCAACCACACCAAAGGCTTAGGGACAGAAACTAAAGTATATTGTAGGAAACTCTTGGCATGTTTGTGTCGTGTATCATGTTCTGCAGTTGGTGATGGTTGTAGGCCTAGCAGTTGGTGATGGAAGGGTTAATGTAAGTCTTAGTTCTAAAGGGTTGAGTAATCTGTAAGTAAGAGTTCATGGGTGAAAGCAATTAAGGGTGGAGGTATGCAAGAGATGGGTTGCAGCTGGGTGTTTCTGGATATAATGATCTTGGGGAGAAAAGTATTTGTTTTATTTTGGTGGTAGATGCTGCTGGTTTCTCCCCAGGTTTGTGGATTTTCGGTATCCTGACCTGTCTCTTGTACTCTTGGAACCCTGGAACCTTGAATCTCTGAATTGCTTTTGACTACAATATAGAATCTTGATCCCTGGACTTGCTCATTGAACTCTTGGCATTTGACCACTGGACTGGACGTTTTGACTACGGTGTTATCTTGAACTTGCAACAGCGTTTGCTGTCAGTTTTGTTTTATATTCTGTGGCTGAGTGCTATCTTTATGTTTTATGTTTTGGACTATTAAAACAACCAGAAAGTAAGTGCTGCTTTAATTAAATTGTTTAACACAAACTGGGAGTTTGTTTGGTTCATCTCTGCCTGAATAAGGCAGAGCCCTGGCATTGTGACAGTTTGCTCCTTAAATCAAGATCTCTATCTGCTGCATGAACTCTTTCAGGTTATGGGCCCAGATTGTTTTAAGAGATCTGTGAAAAGATGACAGTCAATGGAAGCATCAAGCCAAGTGTAGAGGCATGGAGATGCCTTGGAGCACAAAGTTGACCCTTCCCAAACTGAATGAGAAGCTTGATTCAAAATGGGTATTCCAAATGAGCTTGAATTGGGCATCTTTGAGGCTGTTTGGTGAATGTAAAGAGGACAGACCAATTGCAGAAATTCCCACATGGGATTCTGAGAGTCCGATGCATCACAGCTTACTGGTGGGATTTACAGGTATGTCTGGACCAAAAAAACTACAAGACCAATGCTCTCCTAACGTGAGAAAGTGCATAAGAAATCAGATGCCAGCTAACATCTCTTATATGAGCAATCTTCAGCCTTCCCTCCTGGTGTTCTGGACTACTGGCTGTTAGGAATTGTGGGAATTGGAGTCGAAAGCACCTGGAGGGAGGGCCAATGTTTGCTTATGTCTCTGCTAGAGCAATTCATTTCTGCAACTGCAAACCAGGCAAGGGATGTAGGTAGAAGATGGATCATTACCCATTGAGTAGCCTGGAACATCTTGAGGTCCAAGGGGTCCCCCTGGATCTTCCTGTCAAGGACCACCAAGGAATGGCATGTGGCCATGGCTGCAAAGGCCGGGCCCCACGGCAGCGGAGAGGCGGAGGAGGAGAAGCGGTGGGCACTCTGGAAGCTGCAGGGAGAGAGAACACATCAGACAACAGGTGTGGTGGTGTCAGGAGTCAGTTTCTGACGGCATGAAGGCATCACAAATTCTCTCCGTAACATCCTGACTGAATCATCCTGGCTAACTCAATTCTCTCTGTGTGACATTTTGAAGCCAGCTGAGGGCGCTGGAAACCTTGTATTGGAACTTGTGAAGCAACAAGTTCTAATAAGGAAACTGAGAAGAGAGGGGAGATGGGCAGGAAAGGTGTATAAAAGGAAGTGGTGGTGGGAAAAAGGCAGTAGTGTCATTCTTTGCTGCAGAGATACAAGCAATATATCCATTTCACAGCAGAACCGGCCTGTGAGTAGTTATTTAATATTGCTATATAGATCCTACAGTCTTACACATGTAATCCCAACTTCCAGTTTAATACAGGTAGAACATACACCATCACAACCCAGTTGACCAGATGAGCCTGCAACATCCCTTTTAAGCCATGCAACCAGCTCAACATGGGGGCAGACATCACAAATTCCCTCCATGATGTCCTGACTGAATCATCCTGGCTGACTCAATTCTCTCTCTCTGACATTTTGAAGCCAGCTGAGGGCGCTGGAAACCTTGTATTGGAACGTGTGAAGCAACAAGTTCTAATAAGGAAACTGAGAAGAGAGGGGAGATGGGCAGGAAAGGTGTATAAAAGGAAGTGGTGGTGGGAAAACGTCAGTAGTGTTTCTTTGCTGCAGAGATACAAGCACTATATTCATTTCAAAGCAAAACCGGCTTGTGAGTGGTTATTTAATATTGCTATATATATCCTACAGTCTGACAAGTGCATGCACACAAAGGAACGGGTGGGGAACCGGAGGCAGATGGACAGAAAAACACATACCTCTTTCCTTCGGCCAGGACAGCCCCCCAGAGGTCCAGCCCATCCTCGGTCAGTGTGCCAGTCTATTTACACCACGGGCAGGAACATCAAAGGGTGCCACAGGGAGGAGGACGAAGGAAAAAAGGGATGATAGTGAAACATATTAAATTTTACTAATAGGTTGAATTAGATGTTTAGATATATCATGTCATAACTAAAATTAGATAAAGGACTTAAAACAAATACATTGATATTGGGTTGTTGTAGGTTTTTCCGAGTTATATGGCCATGTTCTAGAAGCAATTTCTCCTGATGTTTCGCCTGCATCTATGGCAAGCATCCTCAGAGGTAGGTATGGCAAGCATCTGAGGATGCTTGCCATAGATGCAGGCGAAACGTCAGGAGAAAATGCCTCTAGAACATAGCCATATAACCCGGGAAAACCTACAACAACCCAGTGATTCCGGCCATGAAAGCCCTCGACAATACATTGATATTATAATGTTGAAGGCTTTCATGGTCAGAATCACTGGGTTGCTGTGAGTTTATCAGGCTGTATGGCTATGTTCCAGTAGCATTCTCTTCTAACATTTCGCCTGCATCTGTGGCAAGCATCTTCAGGGGTTCTGTTGCTAATGAGGCAAGTGGAGTGTATTTATGCCTGTGGAATGGTGTCCAGGGTGGGGAAAACAATCCTTGTCTGTTTGAAGCAAGTGTAAATATTGCAATTGGCAAGCTTGATTAGCACTGAGTAGCTTTCAGTGGGTTGTTGTGAGTTTTCTGGGCTGTATGTTGTTGCCTGCAGGCATTCTTATTTTGGGAGGTGTCAACTGGCACTTGTTTGGAAGGTGTTAACCACACAGCAATCAAGTACCAGTTTAGACTTCCCAAACAAAGGACATTTCTTCCACCCTGGACATCATTCCATACGTGTATGTGTGTGACCACATGGACTATCCCAGGCCAGAGCTTCCTGTCAGCCGTCACCACTCCCAGCTCCCTCAAGGTCAGTCCAGTCACTTCAAGGATGCCATCCATCCATCTTGTCCTTGGTCGGCCCCTCTTCCTTTTCCCTTCCACCTTCCCCAGCATAATTGTCTTCTCTAGGCTTTGCTGTCTCCTCATGATGTGGCCAAACAGGCATGTAGCCGGGGGGGGGGGGGGCTCGGGGGGCTTCAGCCCCTCCCGAAATTCTCATGGTGGTTCGCGAAAAGGCCTTACTGGTGCATTATTTAAACTGTTATGTTTATTCATATCATGATCTGATCACCATACTCAATATATCCCATATGCATGGGAGTATTGGGGTAATGATACAAAAATTTGCTAGGCTAGACCCTCTTTCACTCAGACTCAGCCCCCCCCCCCCCGAAACTCAGCCCCCCCGAAACCCCCCCTGAAAAAAATTCAGCCCCCCCCCCCGAAACAAAATCCTGGCTACGGGCCTGGTGCTCCATGCAGTCATGCTGGCCACATCCTTCCCTCCAGTGAGCAATCGGACTTTATTTCCTGGAGGATGGACTGGTTGGATCTTCTCGTAGTCCAAGGCACTCTCAGGACTTTCCTCCAACACCACAGCTCAAAAGCATCTCTCTTCCTTCGCTCAGCCTTCCTTCTGGTCCAGCTCTCACATCCGTAGGTGTCTACGGGGAATACCATGGCTTTGACTATGTGATGTCTCTACTCTTCACTATTTTATCGAGATTGGTCCTTGCTCTCCTCCAAGAAGGAAGCGTCTTCTGATTTTCTGGCTGCATTCTGCATTTGCAGTAATCTTTGCACCTAGAAATACAAAGTCTGCATTTCTTCCAAGTTTTCTTCTATTTCCCAGTTGTCAATCAGTCCGGTTGCCAGAATCTTGGTTTTTTTTTAATGTTTAACTGTAACCCAGCTTTCTTCTTTCACCTTCTTTAGAAGGCTCCTCAGCTCCTCTTTTGGCTATCAAAGTGGTATCATCTGCATATCTAAGGCTGTTAATGTTTCTTCTAGCAATTTTAACCCCAGTCTTGCATTCGTCAATCCCACAAACACACACACTCCACTTGCCTCACTGTCAACAGACCTCTGAGGATGCTTGCCACAGATGCAGGTGAAACGTTAGGAGAGAATGCAACTGTAACATGGCCATACAGCTTGAAAAACTCACAACAGCCCAATGAAGATACAACGACTGGACTTAACGTTTGGTGACCATATTTTAGTAGGTTGTTGTAGGTTTTTCTGGCCATGTTCTAGAGGCATTATCTCCTGATGTTTTGCCTGCATCTATGGCAAGCATCCTCAGAGGTAGTGAGGTCTGTTGGAACTAGGAAAAGGGTTTTTTTATCTGTGGAATGACCAGGGTGGGACAAAGGACTCTTGTCTGTTGGAGCTAGGTGTGAATGTTTCAACTGACCACTTTGATTAGCATTTGATGGCTTGGCAGTGCCTGGGGGAATCTTTTGTTGAGAGGTGGTTAGATTAGATATTTTAGTAATATTTGGAGTTGAAGTCCAAAACACCTGGAGGGAAGGCCGAAGTTTGCCCATGCCTGAGCTAGAGATTCCCGGAGGGAACATTTTCATCAAATCTGTAAAGTGCAGACATTCTTCCCACAAATTGGGAAGCATGTCTGCATTGCATTCCCATGGCAGCCTTCCCCTGGTTCAAGACTCAAGGTGGCTCAATCTGGATGAAACATTGCTTCAGGGAGCTGGTATATTTGCCTTCAAGTCAACTTGGCCAACATCTGGGAGGCCTCTGAAGACCACCCGATGCCCCAGATTGAGCCAGATCATCCCTGCTATATCCCATGAAGCCATTCAAGCCACAGCTATTTGCCTTCAAGTCAACTTGGCCAACATCTGGGAGGCCTCTGAAGACCACCCGATGCCCCAGATTGAGCCAGATCATCCCTGCTATATCCCATGAAGCCATTCAAGCCACAGCTATTTGCCTTCAAGTCAACTTGGCCAACATCTGGGAGGCCTCTGAAGACCACCCGATGCCCCAGATTGAGCCAGATCATCCCTGCTATATCCCATGAAGCCATTCAAGCCACAGCTATTTGCCTTCAAGTCAACTTGGCCAACATCTGGGAGGCCTCTGAAGACCACCCGATGCCCCAGATTGAGCCAGATCATCCCTGCTATATCCCATGAAGCCATTCAAGCCACAGCTGGCCACGTGGAAGGCATGGGCACTTACTTTGTCGAAGCAGAAGAGGTTGATCTGCCCACAGATGTTGATCCTCTGAGGGCTGATGCAGAAGATGCCTCTCTTCTTGAGGCGCCGCTGGGCGTAAATGATGCCAGTGGTCAAGGCGGCTGGGAGGGCAGGGGGCACCGCAATGGTGATCACGTCCAGGGCCTTCTTGATCACCTCCCCAGCCTCTTCCTGCACAGGAGGAGAGAGGGTGTCAGGAGGAAGAGGAAGGAAGAGAGGGAGGAAAAGGAGGATGAGAGAGAAAGGGAGGAAAGAAGAAGAGAGGAGGAAGAGAAGAGACAGAGGACAAGATGAGGAAGAACGGGAAGAAGAGGAAAGGGAGAAATAGAAGGAAGAGGAGCGATGGAAGCAGAAGAGAGGAGAAAGAGACAGAAAGAGATGAAGTGGAGGAGGAGAGTGGATGGAGAGGAGGAGGAAAGAAGAGGGCAAGAGGAAGAGAGGGAGAAAAAGAGGGGAAGAAGAAGAGGGAGAAAGGGAGAAATAGAAGGAAGAAGAGCGACGGAAGCAGAAGAGAGGAGAAAGAGACAGAAAGAGATGAAGAAGTGGAGGGGGGAGAGTGGATGGAGAGGAGGAGGAAAGAAGAAGGTGAGAGGAGGAGAGGGAGAAGAAGAGAGGGAGAAGAAGAGGAAGAAAGGGAGAAATAGAAGGAAGAAGAGAGGAGAAAGAGACAGAAAGAGATGAAGTGGAGGAGGAGAGTGGATGGAGAGGAGGAGGAAAGAAGAGGGCAAGAGGAAGAGAGGGAAAAGAAGAGAGGGAGAAGAAGAGGGAGAAAGGGAGAAAGGAAGAAGAGCGATGGAAGCAGAAGAGAGGAGAAAGAGACATAAAGAGATGTGGAAGAGGAGGAGGAGGAGGAGGAGGAGAGTGGATGGTGAGAAGGAGGAAGGGCAAAGGCAAGAGGAGAAGGAGGAAAAGAGAGGAAGAAGAGGAAAGGAGGAAACAGAAACAAGGAGGACAATGCAGGAAGACGAAGAGAAGAAGGAAGGAGAAGATGGGAGAGTGGATGGAGAGGAGGAGGAAAGAAGGCGAGAGGAGGAGAGGGAGAAGAAGAGAGGAAGAAGAAGGGGAAGAGGAAGAACGGGAGAAATAGAAGGAAGAAGAGAGGAGAAAGAGACAGAAAGAGATGAAGAAGTGGAGGGGGAGAGTGGATAGAGAGGAGGAATAAAGAAGAAGGCGAGAGGAAGAGAGGGAGAAGAAGAGAGGAAGAAGAAGAGGGAGAAAGGGAGAAATAGAAGGAAGAAGAAGAGAGGAGAAAGAGACAGAAAGAGATGATGAAGTGGAGGGGGAGAGTGGATGGAGAGGAGGAGGAAAGAAGAAGACGAGAGGAGGAGAGGGAGAAGAAGAGAGGGAGAAGAAGGGGAAGAAAGGGAGAAAGAGAAGGAAGAAGAGCGATGGAAGCAGAAGAGAGGAGAAAGAGACATAAAGAGATGTGGAAGAGGAGGAGGAGGAGGAGGAGGAGAGTGGATGGTGAGAAGGAGGAAGGGCAAAGGCAAGAGGAGAAGGAGGAAAAGAGAGGAAGAAGAGGAAAGGAGGAAACAGAAACAAGGAGGATAATGCAGGAAGACGAAGAGAAGAAGGAAGGAGAAGATGAGAGGGGAGACAAGAAGAGATGAAGGAGGAGGAGGAGGAAGAAAAGGAAGGTGGAGTGGCCCCCTCCCAGCTGCCTTCCGGCCACTCACCCCACTGAGGACAAAGACGCAGACGGCATAGACCATGCCAATGGCCGCCACCCCAATGAGGCACATGAGGAAGTGGAGGGCGTCTCTGTAGAGGCGGAAGTTGAGGGGCTTTGGGTAGAGGATGGACCGCACCAGGTCCCCCTTCGCTGTGTTGAAACCTGGAGAGGAACAACAGCACAACAAACAAGATGATGGTAATGGGT